CAGACATGTTTTTTTCAAATTGCAAATGGCTGTTTAAATACAACTGCATGATCACAGAACCAAAGATTTAATAAGCATTTAAAATCTTATTATAATAAATTATTCAGCATTACTTACAAATCATTGTTTTGGAGGGGGGGGGGATTGGAGAGATGGCCTTACTACTTAGGCCAGTCTGGTTTGGAACTTACTGTGGGCCCAGATTAGCATCAAACTTGTGACCCTTCTGTCCCATCTGGTATTAAAGGAGTGAGCACCCACACTGGCCCTTCAACATTCTTACAAAAGTGCTTTATCTGATTTAACAATTAGACTTATTATTCTTTTGCCCCCAAGGAAGGATAGCCTGAGGAACAAGGCAAATAATATTGCAAAGAAGCACACAAATCCAGAATTTGGAACAAGTCATTTGGCTTGATTTCTTCACAAAGCAAATGTCATGGGGGGTAGGGGGAGAGGAAGAGATGGTGCTTACTTAAGAGAGATTTAAGAAGTCTAAAACTTAAATATCATTTGTGATCCTTGAGTGAATTGTGTGTTCAAGAAAGAAAAACAGCTAAAAAGTTATTCTGGGGACAACTGCTGAAGTTTTAATATGAACTAAATATTAATTTTGTTTCATATGACAATGGTATTATGATTAAGTAGGAAAATCTCATGTTTACAAGACATACTAAAGTTTTAGGAGTAAAATATGAGCTTTATAATTTATTTTGAAATGGTTTAGTCAAAAATAATGAGTATATTTTGAAATGTTTTTATGCAGCTTACATTTTATTAACTTCTAAGGTTTAATTGCAATAAACATTAAAATATTTAAAATTGGGGCTGGGAAGGTGGCTCAGTGGTAGAGCGCTTGCCTTGCATGCATCAGGCCCTGGGTTCGATTCCTCAGCACCACATAAGAAAAAAAACTGGAAGTGGTGCTGTGGCTCAAGTGGTAGAGTGCTAGCCTTGAGCTGAAGAGCTGAGGGACAGCGCCAAGGCCCAGAGTTCAGGCCCTACGACCGGACCAAAAATAAATAAAATAAAATAAATATTTAAAATTTATTTATATTTATTTTTATAAATTTTTATACAAAAAATTTATTATTATTTTTTTTGGTCAGTCGTGGGGCTCTTGAGCTCTTCGGCTCAAGGAGAGTGCTCTACCACTTGAGCCACAGCGCCACTTCCAGCTTTCTAATGGTTTATTGGAGATAAAGCCTGGGCTGGCTTTGAACAGCCTCCTGAGTAACTAGGATTACAGGCGTGAGCCACTGGCGCTCGGCTATACAAAAATTTTTATAATAAAAGTTTAAAATTCTATGCTGGGTGCCAGTGGCTCACGCCTGTAACCCTAGCTACTCAGGAGGCTGAGATCTGAGGGTCATGGTTCAAAGACAGCATGGGCAGGAAAGTCCTCGTGAGAGTCTTACCTCCAATTAACCACTCAAAAACTGGAAGTGGTGCTGAGGCTCGAGTAGTAGCGCACTAGCCTTGAACTGAAGAGCTGAGGGACAGTGCCCAGGCCAGAGTTCAAGCCCCAGGACCAATAACAACAACAAAAAGTTTAAAATTCTATAAAATAATATACAATAAACAAATGGACATATATCAAAAGGGAAAATGCTACAATAGTATTGAAAGATGACTTCATTTTATACAAATATCCATAAATACAATTACATAAAGATACCATAAAATATGGGAAAACATGTATCATAAAATCTGTTAGAAAGCTCAGGGACAGAACCCAAGCTCTGAGTTCAAGTTCTAGAAACTGCAAAAAGAAAAAAGTGCTATTCCACCATTCTAAGAATAAATAATATTTTGTTTTCGTTTTAAACTCAGAGCCTTGTATTTGATCATCTGGCTTTTTTGCTATTGCTCTACCACTTGATGTCTCTAGCCTTGCTTTTTAGATGGATATTTTGGATATAAAAGTCTCTGGATTTTTCTAACCAAACTGCCTTCATTCTTCAGGTCTTAGCCTCTTAAGGAGGAAACATCACACTGGTCCCTGGCACCATTATTTAACTGTTAGTAAGCACTTAAAAACTGACCAATTTTCTTGGAATTCAGCATTTAACATTTAAGATTGGTTTTTCTTAGGCTGGATACAATGGCTTAAGTCTGCAATCTAAGCTACTTGGGAGGCAGGAATCAGGAAACCGAAATTCAAGGCCAGCCCTGGGAAGAAATTAGTGAAATGCTATCTCAACAAACAAGCCAGACATGGTGATTCACACCTAGATATGCAGGAGGTACAGGTAAGAAGAATGTGGCACTAGCCAACCTGGAAAACCTAAAGAGACTATATTTGAAAAATAAATAAAACAAATGGGCTTGGAATATGTCTCAAGTTGTAGAGAGTTTCCCTAACAAGCTCAAGTACCAGGTCTTGAGTTCAAACATGGGTACTGAAAAAAAGAAAAAAAAGATGGGCTTTTCTTTGTATCAGAATTATATATAAATTAAAAAGCTCACAGGGAAGCTTTGACTCATTATCAAAACTGCTTGCCTTCTTTAATGTTAGCGGTTTCCCCTTCTCCATTTACATGCCACTGTTTCCCTACTTCTGTTCCATTCATTAAACATGTATTGCATTTATTGTGTTTAGGAATGAAAAGGGCATGGCTCCTGCCAAAAGAAAAATGGAACCTGGAAAGACATATATAGAATAGATAATTACAATGTGTTTAGTGTACCAATAACAGAAAACAGAGGGTTTCACTGGACAGTACTAGAAGGGTAGGTGATAGAAGTGGAAATAAGGGTCCTCCAGTAAAAAGCAGGAGTAAAGGCATTCCTGGCATTGGGGAAGCATGCAAGAAGAGTAAGATTATGGAGAAATTGTACTGAAGATACAGAGAGTTTGCCTCTTGTGGGACTTTCTTTCCGTATCATAACATATTACATGATAATACAGCAGAAGAGAGAGGGAAGAAGGGAAAAAACACCAAACTCCTACAATAACTAGCACATTCCTGAGATAAAATTCCTAATGGATTCATCAGGGTGGCATCCCCAGGACCTAGCCAACTTTTAAAGATACCGCTCCTCAACACTGTTAAAATAGCAATTAAATGTCAAAGTAAGTTTTTTTGGAGGGAATATTTAAACCATAGCAGGTAGGGAAATGAGAAGAGCTGAAGCTATAGAGATACACTGAAGCAATTACTGAGGTGTTGATTGCTGTGTTAATATACAAATAGAGTAATTAAAATCTTCTTGCTCAAAATGTGCCTTCTGAATTTTTACTTGATTTTAAGATGACAAAGCCCGAATCTGTTTTTAAGAAAGAGTTGCTACACAGTGAATTTTGGGGAAAAATATTACAGTTGGTAGATAGTGTTCCTTCTTTAGCTAAGTCAGTTGGGGCATAAAAATATTAGGTGGGAAATTCGAAAACCAAAAATTTATGTATTTTAAATTGTGTACTGTCCTGAGCAGCTTGATGAATTATCAGATATTCAGTTTCTTCTTGCTAGTGATGTATCACTATCACTTTGTCCAGCCTCTCCATCCTCTATATGTTATGTACATATTAGATTTAGTTATCTTAATTATCAGATAGATTGTCATGACATCAAAATGCTTTCATTAAAAAAGCATTTACTTAATAATGATCCCCAAAGAGCTAGAGTACTGATGCTGATACTGAGTATTTGCATATGCCAAAGAAAAGCTGTGAAGTACTGTCTTTAAATGAAAAAGTGAAAGTACAAGAAAATACTTTTAGACACATAGACCATTTAATTTACATTACAAGATATTCTTGTTTTATTTTATCAATGGTTGCTTTTTTTTTTTTTCGGCTGTGGGGCCTGAACTCTGGGCCTAGGCGCTGTCCCTCAGCTCGTCAGCTCAAGGCTAGCACTCTACCACTTGAGCCACAGTAAAACTTCCAGCTTTTTCTGCTTATGTGATGCTGAGGAATCAAACCCAGGGCCTCATGCATGCAAGACAAGCGCTCTACCACTGAGCCACCTTCCCAGCCCCCACTGGTTGTTTTCAATCTCTGAAAGTGTCTAATTTGTAAATTAAATTTTGTTAAGCAAAAACAACTCTCTCAGAACACAAAAATTCACTCAAAGGAAATTACACATTTACAAAAACAGTATGAATTAAGTATTTGTTATCCAAAATGTTTGAAACCAGAAGCATTTTAAATTTTCGGATGTCTGTATAAACGTTTTTAATTGAGCACTCCTAATCCCAAATTATGAAATTCAAAACATTTTGAGTTTCATGGGAGCTAAACATGTTTTGAATGTTAGCGTATTCTGGACTTTAGGTTTTCAGATGAAGGATGCTCAAGTAAGCGTAGGATCTGGTACCAAGCTTTCAGATATCTCTTGGGTACCCTGGAATATACTCCCACAGATGAAAGAGAACTACTACCAATATTATTTGGAACACATATTTTGGGGAAAGCCTGATCCTCTATCAAGAAATTAGCAATCATGTAATGGAAAAGAATACAAACACAAACTGGTCATGTGTAAGTATGATCTCCCCAACACCTCCCCCCAGCCCCCCCCCCACACACAAAAAATCCTGCTGCAGAATTTGTCTCTTGCAAAATCCAGGGGGGAGATTAGAGAAATGCTCTGATATATGCATCTTGATCAGACTGGCAGATGAAACAAAGACCAAATTTTCAATGTCAAAAGAAAGCAGAGCCAGGCACCAGTGGCTCACATCTGTAATCCTAGCTACTCAGGAGGCTGAGATCTGAGGATCACGGTTCAAAGCCAGCCCAGCCAGGAAAGCCCGTGAGATTCTTTTAATAAACCACCTGAAAACTGGAAGTGGTTCTGTGGTTCAAGTGGTAGAGTGCTAGGCTTGAGCTAAAGAGCTTAGAGACAAGGTCCACGCCCAGAGTTCAAGCCCTACAACCAACAAAAACAAACAAACAAAAACACCACAAAACAGTATATTAAACATTTCCTCAGGCTTAGTGGTAAATCTATTAGATGTGTTTTTTTAATCAGGAAAGGTAAAACTGTACTTACATCTCGGGCTTTCACATAGAAGGCCTCTTGAAAAGCAGCTTCTAATGAGCCAATAAAAAATACAGGATGGCAGTCACCATATCTATAGGACAAATTGAGTCTATTAATTAAGGTACATTTCAAATCCACAAATCTAATCAATGACTTTTAAGTAAATGTTAGGGCTAGTATCTAGTATAAAGATTAAGACATTTCTTTAAAAGCTTGGGAAAAAATGTTTTTTCAATTCTCCTTGTCTATATTAATAGATCACAACTCTAGAATTTTAATTATAACCGCCAAATGTTGTACTTAAAATGCCACTTATAAGGATCAACTAACTTTTTGGTTACTCGTGTTGACAGCTTTAGCTTCCTATTTTAGTTCATGGAAATAGTTTCATGTAAAGGTCCCATATTATATTACATGAGAAAAATACTAAGAGAAATATTACTTATATCAAATTAAGGGTTAAAAATTAATCCTCCTCATAATTAAACACTTCAAAAATTCCCAAATGTACATAAGCATTTTTTGAGTCTTAATAGAAAATTTCAAAGTAAAAAATTCCCTTATTGTTAAAATTTTTAAATTATTTTAAAATTTTATTTACTTATTTATTTACTGGTACTGTAGTTTGGCTCAGGGCCTCAATCTGATCAGAAAGGTGATCTATCACTTTAGCTATATACCTAGCCCTTTTGTAGGGTCTGATGTTATTGCCTAGAACTGGCACAGATCTGAAATTCTCTTACTTGGGTCTCACAAGAAACTAAGACCACAGATGCATACCACCATGCACGGCTTACTGGTTGAAATGGAGGTCTTACTAACTTTCCTGGACTGGCTTGGTTGGAACTGTGATTTTCCCTATCTCTGTCTACAGAAATCTATCATCATTTAAATTTTATTTTTGTCTGTCTGTCTTAGGATGAACTAAAAATGTATATGATATCCTAGTCCTTTGGGAAACACAATTGAGATTACATTTAACTCATCTTTTAAACTTCAATGAAGATACAGAGATTAAGTAATGTACCTCTCTGAAGTAGTATATGATTTATTAGTTAGCTTACATTTAACAATATGTACTTCCCTACCAGGACAGTATATATTGGTAAAGACATCATTTGGATACTTTATGGCAAAATTTTAAACAATCTATAATTAAAATTGCCCCAGAAAAATCACAGTAGCATAAGAGAACATCAATTTTATATAGTTAATGTCCTAACCCTACCTTGAAGAAAACTCTGCTGTAAATTGTAATAAGGCATCTCCTTCATTTTCTGCGTTTTCTGGCACTAAAAAACAAACAAAAGAAAAAACAAAAACCAAAAAAACAAAACAAATAGACACAAAAAACAAACCACATAACATCTAATCCCACATATAAGAAATATATTTAATCAATAAAGAGGAAATAAAATTAAGCTTTAGCTTCTGTGATATATCTGAGGGGACATTTTAACTCAGCATACATTAGAAGATCATCAAGCCAGTATAAAAAATAATCTTTAAAAAATTCCAAGCTCATAAAATGTGGAAATGAACAGACACAATTCTGGCAAGCATCTAATGTATGTGCCAGCAGTAAAGATTTTAATATTTTCTTGATATCTTGTTGTTAAATTATATTAAAAGATCTGACATTATTTTAAAGACCACATTAATGAGGAAATTTTTCAACTTCATTTAAATATTACATCTATTTCTGCCCACAGGAGATCTATAATTTCACAGAGTGAAAGAGCCACTTAAGAATTAATTTTAGCAGTCATTCTGCACTTAGTACTACTTGATTTCTATATTACATATCTCATAAGTGGAAGTGACAGTGATGGTACATTTACTTTTTTCCTTCCAAATATGAGTAGTAGTCGATAAAAATGTTATTATTCTTCACAATGATGTCTTTGATAAGATGTGGGAAACAATACACATATGAAACAAAATGTACATTTCCTTGAATTTTTTGTAATTTTTACTATTACACCGAGAATTTGGGGGCTTAATAAAATCAAAACTCAAAAGACTGATTCTAATGGAGAATGTTCACTCCCTTTATTTAATATCTCAAAAATCTAAAGTTTACCATTGTTTCTAACTTTGAGTTCTAGAAGGGAGAATTATAATGCTGGCCCCAAAGAGATATTAATACTCACTCATTGGAGATTTTCTCAGGGCAGAGGACGCCATGCTGAATACTTCTCCATCATCCACCCCAAATTCTGTAGCATCTTCGAAGTCATCTCCATCGCTATCACTAACCATATGAACATCGGTGCTTTGCTATTTAAGGAAAGTCCTGATTAGATTCATATTGATTTCAACACAGCAGATTCTAAATTTATGTACTTACAACAGGATATTAGTATTATCAAATAAGAAGTCATTTAGGAAAGTAAAGCTTAGTACTTTTCATTTTAAGAATTATATACATTACTAAACCTGCTGTAAAGGAGACCAAAGTTGGGAGAATGACAGAAAATGAAGGATATTTATAAACTTAATGAACACAGGGGTTTTTGTTTTATCCCTAGTGTAGAATATGGAATTAAGTGCTCAATAAGAAAATGGGTACAACTTGAAAAGTCAGAGACAAAGTAGTAAATGAAGCTTTCAAAAAGCTCACAGTAGCTAGGCACCAGTAGTTCATGCTTATAATTCTAGCTACTAAGGAGTCTAAGAGCTAAGGATCATTGTTCAAAGTCAGCTTGAGCAGGAAAGTCCATGAGACTCTCCAAATAACCAGCAAAAAGTTGGAAGTGCAATTGTGGCTCAAGTAGCTGAGTGCTAGCCTTGAGCAAAAAAGCTCAGGGACAGTGCCCAGGCCCTGAGTTCAAGCCCCAGGACCAGCCCAAAAAAGAAAAAAGAAAAAGAGGAAAACTATTTGATCCTTCAGTCTATAGAGAAGAACCTAACTTAAAAGTAACTTCTAGGGCTGAGAAGGTGGCTCAATGGTAGAGGGCTTGCCTCACATGCATGAGGCATGGGTTTGATTCCTCAGCACCACATGAGCAGAAAAAGCCGGAAGTGGTGCTGTGGCTCAAATGGTAGAGTGCTAGCCTTGAGCCAGCACTGAGGGAGGGACAGAGCTGAGGGACAGTGTTCAAGCCCAGAGTTCAAGCCCCACAACCGACAAAAAGAAAATAGTAACTTCTAGAAAAGCATTAAGAGAAACAGAATCAAAGACTCACAAAATTTAGCTAGAAGGAATACTAGAGGTTAACCACTTACTGAATTATAGATTTTAAAGCTGGAAGGTATCGTGTATATATATATATATATATTTTTTTTTTTTGGTCGGTCATGGGGCTTGAACTCTGGGCTTTGGTGCTGTCCCTTTGCTCTTCAGCTCAAGGCGAGTACTCTACCACTTGAGCACAATGCCACTTATGGTTTTCTAGTGTTTTTTGGAGAAAAGAGTCTCACAGACTTTCCTGCTTGGGCTGGCTTTGAACTGTGATCCTCAGATCTCAGCCTCCTGAGTAGCTAGGATTACAGGTGTGAGCCACTGGTGCCCGGCTCTTACAGATTTTTTGTCAGTGGTTTTCCTAACTACTTTTCATGGATTACCACCTTTCCCCAGTCACAAATTACAGAAATTTACAGTATACAATGCCTATGTTTATTGGATTTTAAAAAGTTATGGCTGCTCTCATGCAGGAAGAGGGCAATAAGAAGTTTAATACTCTTGGAGTCATATCTGTTTGACAGGGTCTAGGGTACGCCTGAAGCACTTCAGACCCCAAGAAACAATTTTAAAATTGTTAAGTTTAGCATTTCCTCTCTGGACAAATCCAAGCATTAATGCCCAGAATTGTACTATTTTCATCTCATTTTTAAGAGTCTTCCCAATGCTTTGGCATTGAGCAAGATAATAAAAACACACTATTGGATGAATTAATGAATGTACTGCCTTAAGTCATTCGTCTGCTATTCTGGACCTATTACTACTTCACACAAAAGCCTTATTTCTACATGAAATTGTAATTTTCCCTGAATATTTTGTTCTAGAGAGCCAAGATCTCCTGGTCTAAGCTTTGTAACAGCTTAAAATTTCAAAACCCTTTCCCATTTTAAAGCCGTGAGGAGTATCTTCTATAAAACCATTTTCCTAAAACAATTGCTCTTGAACTCTTTTGAACTCTTTACAGTTAAAAGCCTGGATGAAGGTCCTTCTAACTTTGAGGCTTAGAGTTAAACAGGTAAAGGCTCAAAATCTGTAATGCACACTACATGTTCCTTTCAAGTGCCTAGTCATGATCACAGGCAAGTAAAAGAAACAAAGGACTATAGTAACACACCCCACAACCTTGATCAGCTAGAGTCATCCCAGTTTTCAACAAGTCTTATCTAGTATTCACCCCTCTCTTTGAGAGGCATCAAATTAAGAATGAGAGTTTAGGGACATGGAGCAGGAAAAACAAAGAATATTCCATATATACTTCTCTTTTTTCTCACTTCTTTTATTGTCTAACATCTATCCTTTCTCCAAATTCAATTTTCAATCAAATGATATCCCTCCTACTTTCCAAATAAGATCTTACTTTATATTAAAAGTGATTTTAATTCTTTTATATGACCTATTATTCATTTTGGCTCCACAAAGTACAGAATCCTTCAGTCTCTTATGAAACCCTACAACAACACCTTCAAATGGAGGTATCTAAAAGCCGATTTTGTTGAAAAAAGTATATTTCAAATATGAATTATTGAAGTATCTGCAAGAATGAACTACTTAATTATGTATAAGGAACTCCCAATCTCTTCACATTTTCTTATCAGCCATCTCACAGGTTAGGAAAAGCTTTTCTAAAAAATGAGATAAACAATCTTTTTTTCATTAATGTTTGCTGATGAGAATAGATAATCTCATGATCAGTCATGGCTGCCTTAAAAATGCTTTGAATGTAGAAAAGCTGTTGATTCAGAATTTCAAAAATAGCCAAATTTTATGATTCTATTTTAGCTGTTTATTACCTTCATTTACTCCTTCTATCAGTCAACAAACATTTACAAATATCTACTCTGCACCACATTTTCAAGACTTGTGTGAAAGGTATAGTCTATGCCCTCTTGAGGAGAACTATATTATGCAGATAGTTATAATATTGAAAGATAGTGTTAAGATATATGAATAATAAAATGAGATAATGTTATACCTAACTCAACTCAGGGTGAGAGGGATCAGGGAAAACTTCCAGGAAATGACAACAAAACTATTTGAGACAAATATTTAGAAATGAAAATACATCAAAGCAATCTCATAGCTAAAGTAAATGTTTCTTTTAGCAGACATTTACCAACCATATATTATGTTAAGGCACAAAGTTAAAAGCTAGGAATACAAAAGTAATATATAGTTTCTATCTTCAAGAAATTCCCACTCTAAAAGGAAAATATATTTATTTGCTTGGTGTAGGAGGTACAAAAAAAGGTATAACCAAATGCTATTTAAAAATAGAGAGTGACTTAGTCCCTCAAGGACTATTACAAAGACTGTTCAGGATGTCATACAGTGTGCCAAGATTTAATGCAGACCTTGAAGATAGCATAGTGGTGGAGTATATGTATGGTGCAGAGGGGAGTTACACAATGAGGGGGGAAAAGTGAGTAAACAGTTCGGTATTTTAAAAGATCAATGAAAATCCAGAAAAACACCAAGAATTACTAGTTTCATGTGTGTACAAGAAGTGTGACCTAGCCATAAGGGCAAAAAAGATTGATGGCATTAGACTGTGTCACTCCTTAAAATTATGCTAAGATTATTTGCACATTACTATGATGGCAATAAGAAAATCAGCAGAGGTTTTTAGGCAGGGAAGTGTTCAAGGAAACAATTCTCATGTCTCTGTGTGTTATTTGGTAAGGTCTGCTTGCATAAGGACCTAAAGACATGAGAAAAGTGACCTATTAAAAAAAAAAAAAGGTGATCTATTTCAAATATCTAAGGAAGAGATTACTTGAACAGTGAACAATGGAAATTAAGTAAAGATGACAAAATCATAATGTATTTCCAGGATGAGGGGCCAGTGGTTTATACATATAATCCTAGCTACTCAGAAGGGAAGATCAACAATTAAAACTAGCTAGGGCAAAAAGTTCAAGAGACCCCATTTCAATCAATAGCCAGATGTGGTCATGCATACCTATCATCAGTTACATGGGAGGCTGAGATCAGGGGATTGTGGTTGCAGGCCTCTCTGTGCTCAAGGCTAGTGCTCTACACTTGAGCCACAGAGCCACTTGTGGCTTTTTCTGAGTAGTTTATTGAAGATAAGAGTCTTACAGACTTTCCTGCCTGGACTGGCTTCAAACCATGATTCTCAGATCTCAGCCTCCTGAGTAGCTAGGATTATAAGGGTGAGCTACCACTGCCTGGCTAAAACCCTCTTTTTTTGATGAGCTTTTAAAGATGATGCAGGAGATGAAGGCTTTTGGCATACAATAGGTATGCAATCAAGTATTGAATAGATATTGAACAAGTCTTCTTTATCATTCATGCCACCATCTCGGCATCATTTTTTTTCTTACCTGTCCTTTTTTTTTTTTTGTCGGTCGTGGGCTTGAACTCTGGGCCTGGGCGCTGTCCCTCAGCTCTTCAGCTCAAGGCGAGCGCTCTACCACTTGAGCTACAGCGCCACTTCCCGTTTTCTGGTGGTTTATTGGAGATAGGAGTCTCACAGTCTCTCCTGCCCGGGCTGGCTTTGAACCGCGATCCTCAGATCTCAGCCTCCTGAGTAGCTAGGATTACAGGCGTGAGCCACCAGCGCCCGGCTTCTTACCTGTCCTTTCTCAGAGATATTGTCAGTAATCAGTCCTACTATTCTTCTGAAATATTTCTGAAATCCATACTCTTTATTCTTTCTACTAGCAATGTTCTAGTTCAGATCTTTTTTCTCCAAATTCAACTTAGAAATATGTTTTAAATTTAATCTATTCTTTGCATCTGGACAGTTATCTGCTGCTTTTTATATTTCAACTTGCGTTACAATGACTTCATTTTTAAATAAAGAGCTCTGTCTAGGATAATCTCATCCCTAGAATAATGTAATGTCTTCATTGCTTGTATTCATAGTGCATTCTATAACAATCACTTTAAAATACTTTTCTTCAGTTTCCCAATGTTCCATCCCCTAGTAAGTATCTGTGTGTGTGGGGGGGGGGGGGGGGGGGGAAGGTGGGGGTTACAGGGCTTGAAATCAGGGCCTGGGTGCTGTCTCTGAGCTCTTTTGCTGAAGGCTAGTATTCTACCACTTTGAGCCATAGAGCCACTTCCAGTTTTT